ATTTCATTTCAAGAAGTTTGGGAGTAGATACTATCAGAGTAGTCACTAAATTAGTCATATAGCCCCGTATTGTGATTAGCCTACTAGCCCCATTTATTTTTTAAAACTATTAACTATTAATTTAAAGTATACGATAACAAAGACAGATAAACAAAAAAAATCTGTTGGACTTTATTAAGTAAGAACTACGCTTACTGTCTAAATGGAAATAAAATATCTCAGACAATTATATACGATTGTAAAACAAAAACTTTAAAAATAAAAATGTTTACTCAGGTGTACGATTTTTTAAAATTGTAGCGTAACTTCTATCATAGATGTGTTAGCAACGAGATGTTACAGCAGACTGAGCGGCAGTCGCTGCTGCGTGCTCAGACGGGTTTACGCGTGTCTCACGCGATTTGTTTATAACGTAGCCTCGATTATTCTACTTACCCTTATAGTTTACTAACCCCGGTCTCCCCTACAAATGTTAAAATTACTGATTTTCTATTTTCAGCAACAAAATAATATTATATGAGTTTCCTTGTTTGGGAAGATCACTATCCGTTGTATTTGCGTATGTAACCATTCCATCCTTCTACTTGAGCTTATTTTATATCTCGGTCAAAATGTGTCGTCGTCAAATACCTGCATTTATCCTTGTCATTAATAAGAAGCAAACAGTAATATATGTATGTTAGCCATTAACACGAAAACAGAATGTCATAACATGATGCGAATTCTTTCTCCGGCATTCGTTTAAGAAATCCGGCTTGGTTTATAAGACTTCGCTGATTCTTTCGTGCATAAATAACAGAATATCGCGTATAAATATAGAAAGAAGTTTGTGGGTTTCGGATTATATCGGCTCGCATTTCTCGCTGTCTAATGCACAGTTGAATAATTATGCCGCTCGTTTTCTTACTTTACCCGACTGTCCAATTGCTTACTCGGTATGGTTGCCGTTTAAAGACCACGTATAATCTCCTCTCCATCGTCGAGAAGCTAAATGGAATCCGTCCGTGGACAGGCGACACCAACGGTATCCCCTGTCCACAACCGCGAACGTCGTTACGCTCGAAGACATCGGCGTCCAACGACGTCGTCGTGCTTGCTTAGCTACAGAGACAAGTGGTACATCCTACATACATTTGTATATTCCGCGATATTTGTATCTCGGTGTGCGTATCTATCGCCGTGCGCATTGTTTCGTGAACATAATGCTAGAGATGTAAGTATGTTTTATTACTTAATTTCTTTATAAAAAAAAAGTGGAGATCAAAGTTCGTTATAAATATGATTTTTTCGTTAAATAAGAACATATTGCAATTAACTCTTTATAGATAAAATAATTCATGATAAAAAATATTCAGATCATGAAAGTCGATTGCAATTTAAATGCGATGTCTTAAATTGTCCGACCTTAATTAATCCGACGATAATCTTTCTTTTATAAAGTATAATAAATATAACTTTTATATCACACACAAATAATATCTGTAAAATATTAACATTCAAAATCATATATATACAACATATAGATGTCCTCAGTATATTGGAGGCATGAGGAGGGAGGGGGAATTTATAAATTCGCTAAACCGAAATGATTGAATCGGACATATCTATTTTTATAGATAGTTCTCTCTCCCTCTCTCTCTCTCTCTCTCTCTCTCTCGTAATATTATTTTTAAATGTTCACAATGCCACCTTATAAAATCTTTTACAACATTTACAACACAGGAACAGTTCGCCGACAAGCAGAAATGGGATTTGCTTCATCGACTGTAGATATATTCGAACTTCAACCAAATCGTTCAAGAGGTCCTCACTGAAAGCATACTTGAGAATTGACAACATAACTTTTCGACATAAATTTTCATTTCTAAAGGTAAAGAGAACTTTATGTATTTTAGAGCGTTCTGTAAGCATGAATCTAAATAAAAATAAAAACAAAACTTTATAAATGAAATAAGTTAGAAAAAGACAATTCAGTCGAGGTAAGATTTTGAGAAATACCTAATAGTATTTTTTAATATAAATTCTAAATACATCTTTTATTTATGTAAATTGCGCGTAGTTTATTGTCGGACTTAAAATAATTATAAATTAAAACTAAAACAACAATATCACAACTAAACTGCGTCGTGAATCGGATAATGATGCCAGTAGCATCATTATCCACTTAACAATTGTTAAAATTTAAAAAAGCTAAAAAAACGAAGAATTAGCATGTCATCCAAAGGGAAAGAAAGCAGGAATTACCTACGCACGATAAAAAAATCTGAAATCAATCCGTCTTATACATATTTCTAGCTCTTATACGTTAATTATTTAGAGTATTGCAGTATACGAAGCTTGACGTACAAATGCGCACGCATATTTGATATCGCGTTATATTTCATCGAATAATTCGCCTTTGCGTTTTACATATTATTTATTAAAATGAACCCACGACAGTATCTGTTCTCGGTTGCATTAATTTTATTAGTGACAACATTATGTATCCATGGCCAGATGCGACCAATAAAAATCGGTAAGGACTGATCATTTTTACAAAATTAATAAATTTTAGAAAATATATCGCTCATGTTGTGGAAATTTTACGTATATGTTCAAAAGAATGATTTAACGATAGAATTAGCGAAGATCGAAATCTCTACGATAATCTACGCTACTGATACAACATAAACGTAAAAAGTATTTTAAACTAAATATTTGCGAAGACACGTTTCTTTTTTCAACTACACACCGTGAAAAATAGCCTAACAAATATTTTTCACGACCATAATTTTAGGTTACATAATATTATTCATCGAATTTTTATTACCACATAAATAAAAAAACCGTTTAATTACATTAACTTCAAAAAAAGATATATTAATTTAAAGTACAATACACTTGTAAGTACCAGTTAAGAAAATTTTGGAACGAATACCAATTATGTTTAATATAATATTCCATTAAAATTAAATAACAACCAAATGTATAAATTATCAATTACCATATTTTTTATGACAAATTACGTCATTACGTCATTAAAAAACGCTATGTAACAACGTCATGTCGATTAATAATTGAAACAAAAGAGAAAAAGTTTAGCATAAAAAAATATATCAATACAAGGGAAGTAAAAAATATTTATAATAAAATAATTTTTAATTAAAATTCATTAGTATAATGAATTTTGCGCGTAATTATTATCAGTATATATTCACAAAGTCACGCAGGAGAAATATTTTTAACGATGTTCACGTGCGCTTGTTATTTAATATTGATCCGATACGCGCAATGTAAATTGTAATAAACTCATGCGTCGTCATCAACGAGTATTAGCTATTATTAAAGTAAATACATGTAATAATTATAATTTACAGATATAATTAAAAAATTAATTGTGATAATATACCAATCTTCTTACTTTAAATAATCATCACTGATAAATTTATTGATTATCACGGGAAAAAATGTTTTATATACAATAAATATATAAAATTATATAAAAATATATATA